GGGGGGGGGGCCTCATTTGTAGTTAAAAAAAGAAAAGCCTCTTCAGCAGGTTCTGTGCAAATGCTGAAAGGAAGCCAGTGAAAAGGGCATCCCTTTTCCAGAGGGGCTGGGAATCAAAACAGAGGCACAAAAGAAAGAAAAGCCAAGGGCAAATAACCCCCAGGTGCTGACATAGAAATAGGGGGTTGCCAAGCTCCCACCTCCAGGTGGGACACAGAAAACACAGAAAAGAGAGGGGAAAAAACAAACAAACAGCAAAAAGCAGTTATACCTAGTTGGAATCCAGGGATGTTGCTGGTATCATCCTCATCCAGGACTCAAATTGACCCTAACGCATGGCCAACACCTCGAGCATCAGCCCAATCATGGTCCCTGCTTCAAGTACAACTCACCTGAACATGGCCAGGAGAATCAGCCCTGAGCTGCTCCCATCCATGGGAACACAGAGACCATCCTGCATTTCCATGGAGCTGCAGCCAGCCTGGAGCCAGGGGCTCCCTCCGGGGTGGGTCACATATAGGATTAGGGAATAGCTCCCAGCTGCGGAGCAGAGCGGCCCCCAGGTGAGCCCGGCTCCAAGCAGCCCATCCCGAAGCTCCCCAAACACATGCAGAGCAGCAGGGCTTTGATTCCCAGCGAAGTCACACGAGCCAGATGTTATTTCTGAAGGAGCATCAGAGGGCTCTGAGCATGTTAATGTGTATCCGAGACTTCCCCCGTCGGCTGCCCCTGGATTTTGAAGCCTGACCTGTAGTTTTGACTAGATTTCCCTGAAAATGTAGCTGCTGTTCTGAAAAGGGAACTGCACCGGGTATTTAATGCAAACCAGGCACACGTGTTACGAGCCTGGATCTGCTGGTTGGGAGCCCTCCAAAGGAAATGTCTTGGGGCAATCCAGAGCGACGCAAGCGCATCCAAAGAGCGGGCAGACGGCAGCGGGCATTGCCCGTTTACCTGCTCAGCTGAACCAACGAGCCCTTGTCCGGCTTTTCCTTGCTGGAGGGAGCAGAACTAGCCCTTCCGACCCAAGCGCATCCATCCCCGCCGCCAGCGGGGGATGCATTTTCCTTCCCCAATGAAAGTCAAGGAT